TGAGTAGAGGGTGCAAAATTGAGTAATTTGGGGGAAACATTTGAATGTTATGTAGTAATTGTGTACTTATACAGTATATAGAAGTGGCAGTTATTTACATAGCAAGCTTTGTTTTTTAAAGAAATCACCTCAGAACGAATAAACAGACCTTTTATTTATGGGAAGTAAATTATATTAAGACTGTCATATATTTTGTCTTTTAGTATAATTCTATAAGGTATTCTATAAGGTAGTGTTTTGTGACATAAAAACATTTTCACGGTAAGACTCGTACACGAATGTAGCAGTCCAGTTCATAGTGGCCAAAACAATGGAAACAATCCGAACGTCCGTCTTCTGGTGGCCAGGCAAACAAAGTATGGTGTGTTCAGACAAGGGGATACTGCCCGGCAAGAGAGGAATGAACTACTGACAGATGCACTAACAGGGATGAATCTCCAAAACATTTTGCTAATGGGGAAGAAGCCAGGTAAGAAGAGTACATACTAGTAACTGTATTTATTTGAAATTGTGGAAAAGGCAAAACAAACCAAGAACATGAAAAGACCAGCCTGCCAGGGCCAGGGTGGGTTGGCTGCGTGACTGCCAAGGAGCGCGGGGAGCTTTCAGAGGCAAGGGGGCAATGATCAGTAAGTGCTGTCGCTGGATTATTGTAGTGGTCGCGTAGGTGTGTGCATTCGTCAGAACGTAAAATGGGTGCATTTCATTACATGGGAATTACACCTCAAAAAGGTGACTTAAAGGGTGAAAGAAAACAAAAATATTTTATGACTCAGAAAACCAACACTGAGAGAAAAGGGCCCAGTTATACACGTTGAAACAGAGATACCTGGGACCAGAGCCGTGAATTGACCGAGCCAGACCTACCTGCTGTGATAAACTGATAATCTCATTGGACAGATGGGGCAGTCTTACATCAAAGTGGGAGAAGATTTAGTATGAAATCTTAAATCATGATTTAATCTCCTTTTTTTTCTCGTTATTATTATATCCAAAGAGAAATCCTATAAAATTTGTGTGAGACAAAGCAGGCACAGCTGGCTGGAGTCGAGCTGGCTGTGGATGAGCTCTAGATCAAGTTTTTTGGAATCTATGCAGTAGAAATAAAAATGTCCTAAGGCTTTGTCCTCTGGCCTTAAAAGTGTTGTGCATGCCTTAAATAGATAGTTTTTGATATAGTCATTTTGAGTGTGTGTTCAAGTGTTACGTTGTCACTGTCCATACAAGCTTTAAGTGTTGTCAACTCATTGATAGCAGAACTTTTTCTTCTTTGTCATGTGGCACAGATAACCACTTTCTCTGTCCTATAGAGATTGCATAGCAGAGTTCAATAGTAGATGACATTTAAAACTTTTGATAAATTTCCTAATTGAAACAAAAGAGAGGATTATTTTAGTAGACTTGCAATAAAAGGGATCTAGAATTCCTTTAAGCTGATAAGCAGAATGTACCAAAAACCTAGAGTGAGCAATCATATTTAATAATAAAACTTTAGACACTTTTCTATGAAAGTTAGAAAAGAACTTAAGACTGCATGCTCTTCTTACTTCTATTAAGCCAGAGGGTTTAAGGCACTGGTAATAACACAAGGAAAAGAAATTAAAAGTTAAAAGAAGAGACAAAATTGGTAAGGCGGAAAAACTATTTGTGTTGTTTTACATTCTCATTTAATAAAATGGCTCTGCAAACGTGTTTGAAAGGTCAGATCCCGTTGTAATTGATGTCTAACTCACTTAGCCTAGCTAACTAATAATAGTAAAGAAGTGTTTTTCATTTAGCAATTATGTTTATAGGTTTTATATAGCTGATGAAATTACTCTATCCAATCACCACTAAGTAGGTTTCCCAGATTTGAGGGAAGTCTGTGAGGAAAAAACAGCCTATTCCCACTAACTCTTAATTCTAACTACTGTTCTATGCAAAAGTAACAAAGTAAAAATGGTATGAAATAGAAAATGAATGGAAGGATTTTTACGTGTGTGCGTGTGATAAGACCTCTTGAATTTTATTCTGATTTAGGGTTGGTTGCTTTGTCTGAATTTAAGTCTGTTCACATTTTGGATCCTGTCAGAGCTTTGAAAGCCAAGGTTACATTTTAGACCCACGGTGTATTATTAGCCATTGTTTACTGGTAACCTGGACAGAGTACATGGCATGTGCTGTCCGTGTCACTAATCCCGCCCCTTCCACAATCCCATTTTACCATCAGTTTTTATATTTTATGGTTTGTTTATCTTTTCTCCTAGGAAGTTGGAATTTTCTTTTGGCTGAATGGACTAAAAATTACTTGGTGAAAAGAAAAAGTTTAGGGATATTTCTATCAAGGAACAAAATTAACATTTATTTGAGTTAAACTGCCTTTGAGTTATTTTAACATTGTTTATGTATTTTAAATGCTTTGCTTTTGTTCCAAAACCTTTTATGGTTCAAAACATTGCTTTTGTAAAACCTGTGGTATTCTTATTCACCCTGTCTATCCTGGATCTATGATTTTCCTTTCAGCTTTTTGCCAAGACTGTGGAGGCTAATATTTAAGAGAGAAGTTTCCAGACCTGTGTTACTAGGTAGACCATGATTTTTGCCTCCTTTCAACCTCCGTGTGTCAACCTGATAGGTCGGGGCAGGTGGACATCTCCCGACCCACATGTGATTGGGGCGGGTGGAGGCTGTTAATGGATGGCTGTGTCTGCTGTCAAAGAAGGCAGTTCTGTGAGTATGTATGAGTGTGCGGAGTAAAAGGAGGACCTGCAGATGGTAGAGCTGGGCTGTATCTGATTTCCTCCTCGGCTCTGAGGTTTGCTGTGGCCGTCTTTTCAAAGGAGCCAGCTGGGGTTGTCTGTTAACCACCAGTACCCATTGGTTTGGGTAGAAGGGACTTGTTGCTTTCTTTAGAATTTGTTCAGCCTCTCGTTTTCATGTATATTTCATTTATATTCATCTAGCGATAAAACATGATACTCAAAAGCAGCATATATGAAAACTGACCTTTCCTTGGAGAACACCCCAGTTAGATCTCATTTCCACGATATGATTACATTTGGACATCGGACTTTTTTTCCCCTGCTCCTTTTTATTTTTCTTTAATCCTTTAATATTTCAAATTTCTGTGATCTGCTATTGCCACTACAAATCTCATGACTGAAAGTTCTTTCCATGTTGTGAAGAGGGGAAACATTTTTTTTTCCAGAAAATAGCAACACAATATAAGGCTATAATAAAAATGTAAATGTAACAAAGCTGATAGTTTTCACTTCCCTTTGTAATATATAAAATTCTATCCAAAGTACCTTTAAGTTACATGTTTTGGTTTAGTTTCTGAGACTACTAATTAAGATAGTTCTGCTGTAGATAGAAGGAAGTTCATTTTAACTGATATTCTTTGGGCTGCCTTGGAGGTGCCCGTTAGCATTTCAAATGGAAGGATGTCCCAGAGGCTATACAGGTGGGTCCCTGTGAGGGACGGGTGCCCGAGCCTGCCTCCTGGAGTCGTGCTAGCTGTATAGCCTCAGGAAGCCCAGGCTGTGAAAGAACAGAAGATTCACCTTACACGTGTGTTGTTTATTTTAGGGTTTAGTAGCAGCTTAAATATGATGGGGATTTAATGATATGTAAACTATTAAGAGGGGAAAAAAAAAAGAAAGCTTGGGGCTGAGATTTGAAAAGGGCTGGTGGTAAACTAAGAGGCAGAGCAGGAAGGAGGTTGGTTGTAGCTGTCCTTTAAGAGTTTCCGAAACAGTGTGTGCATTGGACGCATATTTCTGCATTTGAGGAGGGGATGGAATGTGAAGCTTTTACTCAGAAAGCCAAGTCACTGGGTCCTGCCTACCACGCTCATGAGTTGTGGCATGGAATTCTCACCACAGTATGAGTTAGGAACAAAGTTTGAGAAATACTCTGGCAGACACTAGGGATTTCTTCAGCTGTCTAAGCTGAGAAGTTATCAAAAGCCATCTGAGACACAGAAATTAACATGACCCATCACAAAGGTACCGGCATTTGTGGTGCTCTTATTGGGGAATGTCATATTGCCAGGATTGATTCAGACGCTCTGGCTGACTAGAAGGGTATTGTTTCCTTTCTCACTGCTACACATGCTTCCTGCCGCGTATTAAGAATTGCAAGTATTCGCCCTGGCTGGTGTGGCTCAGGGGATTGAGCTCTGGCCCATGAACCAAAAGGTTGCCAGTTCAGTTCCTCCAGGGCACAGGCCTGGGTTGCGGGCCAGGTCCCCAGTTGGGGGCATGCAAGAGGCAACAATTGCTGTTTCTCTCAAACATCAATGTTCCTCTCCCTTTCTTTCTCCCTCTCTCTGAAAATAAATTTAAAAAGTATTTTAAAAAAAGAATTGCAAGTATTAGAAATGTAGTCAAATGGAATATTTATATATGGATTGGTTCGCCAGGATTGGTTGAGGAATGGCCACAGCCATATCCAAGCCCCATCCCAGGGTTTTCTGGACTCTGTCATTTTCTTCCGTCCTTTGGCAGCCTTTTGCCAAAACAGCCTTTTGACTAAGAACAAAAGTGACCGCCAGCTGTGCTCAGCTTCTACCCTACCAGCCTAGAAACCTCAGTAAAAAGAACACTTCTTTCTCCAACCGCTCCAACAGAAATTCCAAAGCTGACTTTCATTCCCGAGAGTTCTTCCCATGTTGTGAAGAGGAGAAACATTTTCCAGAAAACACCAACATAGAATAGAGGGCTGTAATTTGCTGGTTAAGCCTGGGTCTTTTTGACCCACTTGGGGAACCTAGGGCCAGGCTCAGAGCTCCTGAGTACAGGGACTGGGAATGGGGGAGGGAAGTTGGGATGCTGTTAGCATTAGAAGAGGAAAGGGATGCCGGACAGCCAGAAACAATAAAATGTCCACACTATCTCTCCCCAAAGCTGCTTAGTGGGAGAGGACTGTCCTTTAGCCAAGAGGTCACTACCAGCTGGCTCCTCAGCGAACACATCCAAGGTGGAAGCCTAACCCCTTTCCACGTTGCTCTGTTTTGCCAGATACCTGTTTCCCAAGTTTGCACTGTGCTGGACCGAGTTCGTAGACATGAAGGTCCGGGTGCCCTGTGAAACCATCGAATACATTGAAGCCAACTATGGTAAGACCTGGAAGATTCCGGTGAAGACGTGGGACTGGAAGCGCTCTCCCTCCAACGTGCAGCCCAATGGGGTCTGGCCTGTCTCCGAGTGGGACGAGGTCATCCAGTTATACTGAGACGGGAGGCCGAAATGGTGGAATCCCCCCGCCTGAAAAACAGGTGGCTCAGTGTTTGAAAAGATGCATATCTATTTGTCAAATGTAAGTAGGAGCCAAAGAAACATGACAAGTTTGAAGGCACAGAAAAAGTTCTAACTCCCAAGCCAACTGATTTCATCCTCCCATTTAACATTTGTTAAGGAGTCTGCATGTGCCAGGCACAGTGCTAGGCTACCGCAGAGAGCAGAGACGAGTGAGACAGAGGCCTGCCTCCTCTTCTCCCTCCCTTTGGTAAGCACCCCGATTTTCCTTTGAGGGAAACATGCTTACTCTTTAAACAGCTCATAGAATGTGACGTGTTCTCTAAGAGCTTTCAAAAAGTTAGACGATGGTTGGACTGGAAGATGGGCTCACCAGAAGAGGTTAAGGAAGGATACACTAGTTAAAAAGAATGAGCCATTCCTGGTCTCTGTGTTTAAGTTTGTACGTTAGAGATACTTTTCAGGTTGTGGCATCTGAGTTAATATTCAAGGATCCGACTTCAGGTGGCATCAAGAAAAGATGCTGGCGGGTTCATGGTGTGAGCATCCTGCGGGGGAGTTGACTTACAGCTCAGGGCAGCGTCCTACAAGAGAGTGAGAGCTCATGTCCAGCCTTGTCAAAGATACCCACGTTTTCATACACTTTCTGTTTTCATGTGTGAAGTGCAAGGAGAGCTTATGTTTGTGTAATGCTTAAATTTCTAGCCATTGTGAGGATATTTTCAGTGACTCCTGATAGCACTTGTTCACAAATCATTCAAGTGAGACCATGCTACCAGACATGATATCGAAAGGGCTGTCGCTGCACAAAACTTGCTTTCCTTATCTCATTCTCAGCCATCTGTTAGGTAGAAATCCAAGCTATTCATGGACATTCAGTCTTTTCTGATTTAGAGTCCCTCTACTCTTCAGTTACATGGTATGTAGGCCTGCCTGTTCCCTCTCTCTTCTAAAACTACATCAGGTCTCCAAAATGAAGATAAATGGAAAACCTTGCGACTCTTCTCCACCCCAGATCACAGTGTTTGTGGTGTTTGTATCAGTTCTAGTGGTTTTGTCTGTTGAATATCAATGGGACAAGGACTCAGACTTCCCTAGTTTACCTCCCACTCTGAGATCCTCATTGCCTTTTCCTCCACAGAACACAGCCCTGAGTAGGCTGGGATGGCTCTGTCTTCCCCGTCTCTCCATGAGTCACTTTAATTATGTATTCTTGGTGAGGATTAAAGGCATGTGTAGGCACAATAAACACCTCCACTTCCTTTTTCCCTTTTGGTCCAGGAGAGGAAGCTTAGGCTGCTTAGGACTACTTTCCGAACCAGACTGGCAGATTTTTCTCTACCCTCTTCCTTCATAGTAATTCTGAAATACCCTCTTCCTTCATAGTAATCTGAAATAAAAGTCAGATTTTCCTGGCAAAAAATAAATAGATAGATAGATAGATGGATAAATGTAAAAATAGAGAATACTGGGAGTGTCAGAAAAGGAAACTGAAAAGTTTGAGGGGATGGGCTTACCAAGTTTTCTTAAAACACAATTGGGGAAGGTAACCTACAAGCACCTCACTCCAAATTTTAAAGACAATGAAAACTTTTTTAAAAAGATTTTATTTTATAGAGCGGGGAAGGGAGGGAGTAAGAGAGGGAGAGAATCATTGATGTGCAAGAGAAACATCGACCAATTGCCTCTCAACAGTCCCCAACTGGGGATTGAGCCTGCAACCCAGGCATGTGCCCTCACTGGGAATTGAACCAGCGATCTTCCTGTTTGCAGGACAATGCCTAACCCACTAAGCCACAGTCAGGGCACAATGAAAACTTTTTTAATAAATGATAAATAACCAATGACTTTCCTCTCTTAATATGAGCTTTCAATGTTATAATCATTGGGTCTTTTCATAAATAACGTAATTAGGATTTTAGGAACCTTTACGGGTTACCGGTAAATTTGTCCCCAAGTGACTGGCCATTGTAATCAGCTTTCTCTTTGTTAGAAAGTCAGCCCATAGAAATCATACCCAAATCCTAAATTTTATAACCTAATTTTATTTTTCATGGTTGAAAAATGTATCAGGTAATAAAATAACTGTTCCTAGACAGACTCCACCATGCTTAGTGAGGACCCTTTGCTTGTACTCAGCATCTCCAAGTGTATACACTCCACATTTCTGCCTATTTTAAATTGGGGCTCCCACTGTTCACTAGGGAATCTTACCTACCCCTGTCTAAGTTATTTCTCTTTTATCTGTCTCTAGAGTCCAAAGTCTTGAAATATTCAAAATCTGAGCTATCCTGCTGATTGACAGAGGTTCCAGTCCTCCCGTAAATAGACTACTGGCCATTGGAACACCTTCCTTGACTGCCTTTGGGTTTCACAGGCCTTAGCTCTTGGGTCCTACCCTAATTGGGAAATGAAAGCCTTTCCCCAGACTCTGTGGGCCAGGCTTGGCTCTGGCATGGATGCAGTCTTACTTCATCCTGTGCTCAACTCTGCTGAGTGTCCAGAGCACCACCTAGCTTCTGACCCTCCAAATGAGTTTCTCTGAAGAAATTTCCTGCAGCTATTTCTTTTCCCTCTTTGCTTCCCCTGTCATTCAGACCTGGGCTAGGTCACTTCTCACGTCCCACTAAGGGAAGGCAGTATGTTGGCATAAAAAGACAGCAAACTTTTAAATGAGGCCTGAGTTTCACCCCCAGCTGCATCATGTGGGATCTGCGGTAGGGGACCTCTCACTCTCAATTTTCTCGTGAGAGAACTGGGGACGTGATGTGTGCTTCCGAGGGGTTTTAGTAAGGATTAAATGAAATATAAAGTGCTTAGCATCAGGCCTAGGATTAAGTACTCGAGAAATGTTTCATTTTCTACTTCCAACTCCTTTTCTAATTATTCTTTAAAGGGGTAAAGGAAACTGTGGGTCAGGGCACCATTCTTATTCAGAAGCTTGCATGGCTGAATTTGCTTAGGAAAAAAAATTTTCATTGTGTCAAGATATTAAAGGATGAATTGGCTTGTCCTTTATGGTTTATGAATTCAGAGACTTTTCCAACTTGCTTCTCTCTCTAAGAAGAACTTGTATTTATTTTCATTATTGGTCAAGCTTTTGTCTCCTAGGGTCCTTTGATACTGTGCCATATGCTACCTACTTCTTCGGTTCCAGGCATTTTGCTCTCTGTGCCTCCCTAGATTTAGCGCCTGCTCTGCTCTGGACTTCTAGGTTTTTCAGTATGTATCTTTCCCTACAGGTAAACCATCACCTCCTTGTTAGTAAATCTCTGCCCAGCCAAAATCAGATATAAGTCGTGATTTGGAAAGGGAAAGCATTTAGAATACTTAGTTTCATTTAATTGTCTATCCTAATGAATGACTATACCAGTAAAATAAAGGATAATTGAAAGTACTAATTTCTACCTTCTTTCCCTAGATTTGTGCTTCTGTCCCAACTAGGCAAGAATCAACAGAGCATGTGATGCTATTTTAAGCTGCTCCAAATCAGAGAGAGATTCTAATCATAGTGCATAAGTCAACCAGACCAATTCAGTGGTAATAATAGCTTTTGTACAGAACCAGTGAAATGAAGGCAAGTATAAATTTTTCTAAGGCAAAATCTCTGCGATATTCTCAGAACTAGCTCAGAATGTGCCCCCCTCACCCCCCCACCCCCGCCAACCCTGCTATCCCCTACCCCAACCCAATGCAGAGATCATGCAGGAACACATTACAGCCAAGCAGCCATCTACTTAGCAGTAGCTCTCGCAGTGACATTGACAGGGAGCATTAGGAGAATCATAAGTACTGTATTTTATTCTACAAAACAATTATGCTGTTTCATGCACCATGTAAAAAAAGCTACAAGATTTTGTAGCCTTCTGGTGATTCATTCAGAGCACGGGGAATATTTCATGTGTTCATTAAATGAAAATCATATGTAGCTATGTATGAGTCCCTTTCACTTCCTAACCAGAAAAACATGTATGTGAATTTTCTGAACAAAGTGACATTTTAAACTTGAGTAAATTTTAGTGATGCTTACCAGTTTACTGTTTGACTTTATCTTCAGGTACAGTAATTTGTGGTACTACTGAAAATACATTTAATGTAATTACTTTGATCAGAATTTGTAATATATAATCCAGTTTGTGATGGTGAATAAACATTTTTCTAATCTCTTGAGGTATTCTGTGCTTATTTTTGAAGTTGACAGTAGAAATAACAGCCGCTAACATAGACAAGCAATCTGGTAAACTTGCCAACAATGCAGCATTTCTGTAATTCAGGTCTAGGAATGCAAGTTCTCAGTGATAGCACCTTCCAGCCAAAGACCATCAGGAAGACACCTATTTTAATCAAAGGAACTTAGGTTTATTAGCTTGTTGCTGCAAGAGAGAACACCCACCGTGAGGAAACATGACATTTCAGGAAGAAAGAACTATAAAGGGCTTTTACAGGATTCGAACTAAAGTCAGAATTGTGAAGACTGGCCGTGGTAGAAGGAAACAACAGGGTATAAAGTAAAGAGTCCTAGTGTGTCTGAACCCAGCAATGTCTAAAAAAATATTTACACATCATGACCAAGTGGGATTTCTTACAGATATATATGACCTGGTTTAGCACTCAAAAATCAGTGTAATCATTCCTGGCTGGTGTGACTCAGTGGACCCAATGCCGGCCTGTGAAATGAAAAGTCGCTGGTTCGATTCGCAGTCAGAGCACATGCCTGGGTTGTGGGCCAGGTCTCTGGATGGGGGTGTGTGACTGGTTGATGTGTCCCTCACACATGAATGTTTCTCTTCCTCTCTTTCTCCTTCCCTTCTCCCTCTCTCTAAAAATAAATAAAGAAAACCTTTTATAAAAATTTTTTTAAAAAGTCAACATAATCACCATATTAACAAATGTGAGAGACTGATTGTTTTCCCCCTAAGATTGGTAACAAGGCAAGGAGGTCTGTTTTCACTGCTCTTACTCAATATAATCCTGGATGTTCTTGCCACTGAAATAAGGCAAGAAAAATAAAAGACATACAAATTGGAAGGAAAGAGATAAAACTCCTTATTTTTAATGATATTATTTTCTATATTGGTAATAGATAATACCAAGAAGTCCATTATAAACAAAAACAAAAACAACCCAAACAAGCCAAAAGTAAAAAAAGAAAAACTTGCAGTATATAAGTGAGTTTAGTATGGACTCTCTCTCTATATATATATATCACACACACACACACACACACACACGATCAAGATCAACACCAAAAAATCTATTGCATTCCTATATAGTTACAGTGATTTGTGAAAACCGAAGTTAAAAGTGCAGTATACTTAGGGTCATTCCAAAGAAAATGAAGTATTTAGACATAAACTTAAAACATATACAGTACCTGAATATGAAAATGCTGATGAAAGAAATCAAAGAAGACCTAAATAAATAGAGATATATACCATATTCGTGGACTGGAAAACAACATAGTAAAGATGTCACTTCTATAGATTTAATGCAATTCCTATCAAAATTTCCCCAAGATTTTTAGAGGGCATAGGCAAGCTTATTGCAAAATGTATGTGGAAAGGCACAAAGTCCAGAATAGCTGAAGCAATCTTGACAAGAGTAAAGTAGCAAGAAGATTTGAAATTGGAAAACTTAACCTTGTCCTTACATTTCAATAGATGTGTTACCTGACTTTATAAGGTAGGTGTTGTTATCCTGTGATTTGCATACAAAAAAGCTGCAATTTAGAGGCAACACAGATCTTAAACCCTGTCTTCTGACTTGAAATGCAGTGGCTAATCTGCCAACTCTAGTTAACTGTTGATTGAAAAAACATTCTTTAAATTAAAACTTGAGATCAACCTCTTAAACTACAAGTGCAAAGAATCACTTTACCCAACATTAAGGCTTACTATATATGTCTATAGTACTTGTTATGGGTTGCATTTTGCCTACCTCCTCCAAATTCTTGTATTGATGTCCCAGTCCTCAGCACCTCAGAATGTGACTGTATTTGGAAATAGGGCCTTTAAAGAGAGAATTAAGGTAAAAAGACGTCATATAGGGGTGGGGGGCTAATCCAAGATTCTGGTGTCCCTGTAAGAAGAGATTCGGGTACAGACAAGCACAGAGGGAAGACCATGTGAAGACTTAGGGAAAAGATAGCCATCTATAAGTCAAGGAAAGGGCCCCTCAGAAGAAACCAACCCTGCCGACACCTTGATCTTGGGCTTGTAGCTTTCACAGCTATGAAAAGTACATTTCTGTTTTGAGCCACCCAGTCTGTAATACTTTGTTAGACAATCCAAGCAAATTACTGCAGTGATCAAGACAGCATGGCATTGATGAAGGCATAGACACTTAGATCAATGGAGCAGAATAAAGAACCCAGAAATGGACTCACAAATATGCTCAACTGATTTTTTTTTAATTGTGAAAGCAATTCAATGGAGGAAGCATAGCCTTTTCAACAAATGGTGCCACCAGAGCAATTGGAGATCCATAGCCCTCCCACTCCTAGCCCTAAAAAAAAGACCCTCAACTGCTTTATACAAAAATGAATTCAAAATGGGTCACATACTTAAATATAAAATGAGACTTTCAGGATAAAAGATTAGGAGAAAATCTTCATGACCCAAGGCTGAGCAAAAAGTCCTTTCTTATACTTGACACCAAAAGCGCAATCCATAAAAGGAAAATTTGACAAA